GCTAACAGAGGCGAGGAGCGGCGTGGGTGAGAGCGGGCGCTGGCGGCTGCAGAAATCCCGGTGAAGAGCTGTGATCGGAAACGATACATGTTTCTCTCTAGCGCGGGAGCTAAGGCGGGGCGGACGCGGCCACGACGCCTTAAGTAGCAGGACGGCCGCCTGTCACCGTATGTGGGTGGGGCTAGACTCTCGCTAGCCAATCCCCGTGCCTCTCCCCACCGGCGCGGCCGCTGGACGCGGACTACCAATCCCATGCTGCCAGTGCCCCACCGGCGCCCCAGGAGCCAGTCTTGTTTGCCGCATTGGACTCTGGGAGATGTAGAATGCCCGGGGGACGTCCTCTCCCGGCTCCTCCCAAGGGACTTTCCTGCGCCTTTGCCCCCTCCTGGCGGCCCCGCCCCTGCTTCCGGGCCGGCGGGGAATGGACCTGCAGTGGCCGAGGGTGGTGAGCAATGGGGCGGGTACGCGTGATGACGACAGCCCGCCGCCCAGTGGCAACTACGCCATTGGTGGCCCTTCCTCCAGCCTCTGGCGTTCTCCTCCGCTTTTACCTTTTCCCCGAATTCCCCTCGGCGGCCGTGGCGACGTTTCCGTGGCTGTAGCTGTTGAATTAGCTTAGCGATCGCCAGTAGCTATAGCTGAACTCTGGTTCGGGGCTGTGTCTTTCATTTCCACAGAAAGGTGAGCTTAACCAGATGAGTCGTGCAGTTCATGTCCTTCTCTTACTCTAGACTGGAAAGATCTGGCGGTTCAGGGATCACACGTCTCACCTGCCAGGTAGGCGGTCAGGTTCAGGGTTAGTTTCTGGGAACATCACAGCTGGTAAAACAGACACGAGCTATAAATAGCACTAATCGCAGTGTTTTGTTTTGTTCTGTTTCCCCCCCAAGGTGATCCTAGCTCTGCCTTCCTTGGTGCATTTGTCATGTATTTAGGACTTGTTGTTCCATTCGTGCTCCCGGGCTTGACAAGCCACACTGGCTGACTCACCTCTCCCCCTCTCTCCTGAGTTCCTCCTTTTCTTCCTCGCGGCCTGTAGCACATTTGCATCCGAAGGTCCCCATGCCCCTCAACCCCCTTCCTGACTTCCCTCTGGGTGTTCACACTCCTGCTATTTTCCTACGAGTCCAAGTTCAAAATCCCACCTTCGTATGTGGTTTCCTTCTCCGTTGGGCACCACCCTACCTCCAGGAATAATAAAACTCTTTGAGTCCTAGCCTTCAGCAACACGTGCCCTCAGTTCATGCCTGGACATTTTAAGGGATCTCCCAGTTATGCCACAACTGTTCCATGGGTGATGAAGTTGCCAGACTTATTTATTTACTCACGTGCTTTCCCAGTTGTTCAAGAACCCGC